TTCTTTTTATTTTGTAATTATTATTATAAAATTAATAATTTTAATAATAAAATATATATGTAAAGAAAAAATATATTTAATTATTTTTAAACATATTTTTATTAGTTATTTAACGTTAAGCAACAATAACTAACTACTATATAACCAAATAATTATATTAATCAAATTTGTTATCTATTATCCACTATTCACCATCTGCTATTTGCTAACTACCAACTGTTACCTACTACTATTATTCACTACCTGCTACTTGTTATCTGCTAAATTTTAATTGCTAGACAAAATAGGCTTTTTAAGCTTGTTTGATATAGTGGTTTGAAGGTAACGATCACTGGTTTTATTCAAATCATTAAGGATATGTGTTTAATAAATTTATATATTTCAAAACCATTACAAATAAGTTGTTTAGTAAAAATTTTTATTTAATAATTTGGAATTAACAAATAATAGTTAGAATTCAAATTATTAGTGGATTAAAAAGGTTAATTTAAGTAATTTTTTATATCAAACCATTAGTAAATTAGAATATTTTAATTTTATTAACAAATTTATCCATTATAATTTTAAAATTTTTAGCTATGGTCCTTAATTAATATTTATCTAATTAGTTTCAATTTTGTTTTTTTATCTTTAATAATATTAAGTAATTATTATATTTTTATTCTTTATATTAATTTTTCATACAAAATATATTAACTTAATAAATAAAATTGATTAATTAGATAAAATAATTAAAATTTCTTTATTTAAAAATATACCTATTGTCTACTATCTATTAAATTCTAACTGTTACATCAAAAAAAAAAATTTGGATAAAAATAGAGATATCATTAAAATAAAGTGGAGATTTCATCAGTATAATCTCTATAATATGACACTATAGTAAAAAAATAGAAGCATAACCTACAGCACTAGTTACAAATTTAAATTATACCCATGACGAATCTAGTAAATTAAGTAAAGAGAGCCATATGTACCTAGAGATTGCCTTAAACAATCATTGTATGGGCACAACAGGGTTATCAAAGTAGAAAGAAAGTCACTATGAGCATCAGGAATTACTCAATATTCACACTTGTTAAACCAACTTCACGGGGAGAGCAGGGATTTTTTTTGGCATCAACAGTCCCCATTCCACTTAATGCCATCCCATAAACTAGAGGCCTCATCCTGGAGACAAGTTATGGCCCTTATTCCTGCGAGTGACAACCACCCTTGAATTATCAACTAATACTTTAAATGCCCTTTCTCTCACTGCAAGAGTAGTTCGAAGCTTCCACTTACCGTGCTTGTCCCCATCTTTGCTAAAGGAGTTTTCAAAATTGTGGTTTAACCTCTTCCATTTGCCATCGCCCAAGCCACCCTTTTCCTATTCTCACCTTTGATAGAATCAAATTCTTGGCTTGAAAGGACTTCAAGCATGGTGTCCACCCCCAAAGTATGTAGGGCACCAGTTATTAGATCAGGCATAAGTTGTTTCCCTTTTTGAACTTGACCTTTACCACCTTTCTTAGCCCCCTCATTTGCACAGCTACCACCATTGTGTTCTATATTAATGGGATTGTTTTGCCTAGTACTATCATCAAGTAGGTGATTACGCCTAGAATTCACCTCAACATCCTTGTCTTTTTCATTGAATAAGGGTCGAGAGCTATCTGAGAAGGCCACGTCAAGCTCATCAATATTATCTAGACACCATAAATTCTCTAGTTTAGCCTTTAACCAAGGACCAAAACATCGTATCATCGTTCCCCCAATTTCTTTAATATGAAAAGCAACCTCACAATCATTTTCAAGGTGTCCTATGCAACCACAAACAAAACAAAATTCAGGCAATCTTTCACACTTGAGTCTCAATTTTCTGCATTCTGTGATTGTTATTTGAGAGGCCTTGAATCTTTTAAGAGGTTTATTGATTTCCAATTCAATCTTAACCAAAATAGCTTTGTGGAAACCATCATCTACCTCCAGCACTTTGCCTAAAAAATTACCAGTCATGCACCCAATTTTGTTTGTATGAAGGCCAATAGGGACATCAAAGATGTGAACCCAAAAGGGATTTGTGGAAAAATCATACTACTCTAGGGAGAACGAGGCGTGAAATCTTTTTCAAGATTAAGAGAGAATTGTTGAAATTCCATGGAGCCTTATGAAAAACTTTATTGAGATCTCCAGCATCTGAAAATTGAAATAGATAAATCTTTTCACCAATTTCAAAAATTTTAATGGATTGTTTGAGATTCCAGGAGGCCAGCAACATATCATGAAAGCCATTAAAATTGATCCTTCTACGGGAGAGTACCTTACCGACAAGGTAGAGCTTCCCCGCACCATGTTTCTAGGCCTCATGGAGAGAGAGGGAGAATACCATCAGCATCCTCCATGAGCCATATGCGACTCATCATAGCCCCGACATCTTCAGCTATTGCCTCTGGGGTTTTGGTTCCACTATGCATCTTCTCAACCAATAAACTACGCACAAAGTAAGCAAGTTGTGTCCCAAGCGAGACTATAGTGTATGGATGATGGGAATTGAATCAAAAGAAGGAGGTCGAAGCATGAAGAGGAGAGAGAGGCTCTGAAAATCGAAGTGGAATCCCTAGGGAGGTGCTCGTCGCCCCCAAACCCTAAAGAGTTAGTGTGCAGGAGGTTACATTAAATAAGTTTTAAATAAAAGTGTCTCTTTATATCGGAGGTTGTAATCCATGGAAATGATATCAATTTTATTTTAGGCCAAAGCCTCTATTTGCACCCTCCATTTATTTTCTTTCCGTGATCAACACCTTCCAAATATTTTCCTCCTAGTCAAGACCCTCCACTTTTTCAAACCTATAAAAAACCCAATATTTTAACGGACCGTCACGAAGACGTTAATGACCATTAAAAAATGCAATACATGGCATTCAAATAGTGATGTGACCATTATGTGGCATTATTAATCCAACATGGATACTTTTTTGATGATGCGGCATAATTTTTTATGCACATGTGGATCCCTCCTTCTTGGCATCTTCATCTTCACCATCTTCTTCATCATCCTGGGTTGCTCATGGAACCTAGAAATTGAACCCCATTTCTAGGATTCATGTCATCAGGGAAATTCAAAATAAATGCTTGAGTTGGAATTAAGGACTACCAAAACACAAAGGAACAAAACAAAGAACTAAGAAAATTGCAAAATTAAGCTCAAAGAAAAATCCTGCATATGCTCGTGATTACGTATACACAAGTAATGCTAGGAGACCAAATGAGCAAGAACATAGAGAAAACTAAATCTTCCTCAACAAATCATTCAAAATGCACAAATTGAGCTCATTCAAAGACTTGAATTTGCCAAAAGATAAACCACAATAGCTAAAAAAGTACCAACCACAAGGAAGAAAAGTGCAATTGTAAGACCTAGTACAAATTATCCATTTTTTTCAAAAAAATCGCAATTTTGAATTGTAGTAAACAAATAAAATTACAGACAGAAGCTAAGAATAAGGGAAGCAAGACATGGACACGGAATTTGAAATCGCAGAAGCTATACAATAGAGGTAGATCCATCACAATCGATCATACCTTACCTCTTGCGAGGGAGGAAAAAGGTGAGAAGAAGAAGAAGCTTAGGGAGTGGGATGGAACCCAGATTTGGGTTGTGCAAGGAACCCAGCAATAGGGTTCCTGCGACCTACGAGGAACCGTCCCAGAAATTGGGTTCCTCCGAGGAACCCAGCAACAAGGTTCCTGTGAGGAACCTAGCTCATGGAACCCAAATGAAGATGATGCTGAGGATGAGGAGGAGGATAAGGACAAGGAGAAAGAAGAAGATAGAAGAAATTAAACTTAATAATGTTTTAATTCATTTAATTCCTTAGGTTTTTTTTAAGCATCCACGTGTGTATAAAAAATTATGCCACATCATAAAAAAAGTATTCACGTTGGATTAATAACGCCACATAATGGCCACATCACTATTTGAATGCCACGTATTGCATTTTTTAACGGTCATTAACGTCTCCGTGATAGTCCATTAAAATATTGAGTTTTTTACGAGTTTCCAAAAGTGGAGAATGTTCACAAGAAAGTATTTGGAAGGTGATTATCGTGAAAAAAAAAATAAGAAAGGTGCAAATAATGGCTTTGGCCTTTATTTTATAAATTTACTGTTTAATTAAAGTGAATTAAAGTGAAAGCAAACATGTCTGGGTGGTAGACTTGGCAAATGGGCGGGTTGGGTCGGGTTCAGGTTGGGTCAATTCGGGTGACGGGTTATACGGGTTGGATCGTAGATGAGTTGTGGGTTGGAAAAGTTTAACCTTAACCCTAACCCGACCCTAACGAGTTACGGGTTAACCCACGAGTTGACCTCATCTTCATTTTTTATAATTATTTTTATTAATTTTATTATATACAAATAAAATTATATATATCTAAATCTAATTAAAATATCATAACTCATTAACACTAAATACTTTATAGTCTCCACTATAAATATTTAAATTCAAAAAAATCATAAAATTATAAATAACAGTAAGTTGATTAACAATATTAAATTTAAAATATTTAAATTTCTTAAAAAATAAAGTTTTAATTTTACAATCATCTTGAAATATTATTAAGGAGTTTAAGTTCCTTTTTTTAATGATAAAATTGCTCTTCCAAGAATATCTTTTATTAAATTATTATGTTTATATCCTAACATCACATATTTAATATTTTTAGTTGTATTATCATTTAAATCGTAATATTTAGTAATTAGATCAAACCCACATAATTTTTTTTAAAAAAAATAGAAAAAATAATGATGGGTGAACACTTAAAATAAATTCAAAACCATTTAACTAATAGCAATGAAGTTGAAGAGTATAAATTAATAGAGAGAGATATCAATAAAAAAATTAATTGAGAATAATAAAAATAATATTTTTAAAAATAATAATAATAAATAAAATAAACAAGTTGACCCGCCAATAAATTGATTCTAACTCGATCCATAACTTATACAGATTAATATTATGAATTATCTACGAATTAGGTATTAAGATATATAGATACAAACTCATTTTTACGAATTAAATTAAGGCGGAATTAACGGATGAAGTAGACTTTTGCCACCTCTACTGGGTGGTGTACTTAGCTATCACGCTAGTCTCACACACTCGAGGTGTTGGAGACTTGGAGCGCGGGCTCAGACAATTTTTTCCGACTTTTCCGTCCTGTAGTCCTTGCCTCGGTCATAATTTGCGGCAGCCGCTAACTAACCTCATTCACTATAGTGGGACCCATAATAAATGGACTTTCCATCGGGTAGGACCCATTAAGCTCATGAACGGATCTATAAATTTTGAGGTAATCCATGCCCAAATGCAACAATTCGCCCAACTAATATTTTAGCTTAAGTAAGTTTCCATCAGTAAAAAAATGAAGAAGTTTTCTTTTGTGGCGGTCGTGGTGATGGTGGCGGTGGTAGTGTTGGTTGCAAGCGAGGCGCAGATGGCGGAGGCCGTGACATGCAGCCCCACCGAGCTGAGCCCATGCTTATCTGCTATCACGTCTGGCTCCCCACCATCAGCCACTTGCTGCAGCAAGTTGAAGGAGCAGAAGCCCTGCCTCTGTGGCTACCTTAAGAATCCTAATCTGAAGCAGTACGTTAACTCTCCCAATGCTAAGAAGGTCATTAGTAGCTGCGGCGTTCCCTACCCTCAGTGTTAGCCGCCGCGGTGCAGCTAGCGTACCTAAAACAACCATACATGATTAAGGAAGAATAAAATGATATATATATCACTTAATAATGTTGATCAGTTGTGCTTGTGCTTTAGAATCTTGTTTAGTACTATAATGAATAATACCAGGGAGCTTCTGTAATTTTGTTATTACAGGGGCAATTTATATACTTTCTTTTTATATATATGTTTTACGACGTTGTTGAAACTTGTTATACCAAGAATCTGATTTAAACTTACTAACTGAACTTAGCCCATCCTCAGTAATTCTGCAAAATATATATTTTCAGTAACTGTCTCATTTGGGAAACACTTTAAAAATGAACAAGTTCACTCTCATTAGAGGAATAGAACCTTAGAGGCAACCAAAGGAGACCTCTCGAAGATAATCATAGGATGTTCCCTCCGGCCTCCACTCATTCTCTCTCATTCACTCACACTGCACTCAATTTCCTCTCTCAAATCTAGATCTTCTTCACACACAAACTCCAATTTTTCTCCATGAATCCTCCACGAGCTAACATTGAGCATCAGAGTGTTAAGTTGGAGACCAACTCTAATCTCTAGCTAAACTTTCATGTTTCTCTATTTTGCAGGTGTCCTCCAACCATTTTCTTTTAGTTTTCAACACCAAAATCTTATCAACCACTTTCTAGTGTTAAAAGAACCTACTTTTACTAAAATTGTTATCATAATTTTAGGTTAGACGTTCATATTTACAAAGACATTTAGCTTGATTTACAACCTTAAGTGAGATTTCACCAATTGAGAAAAGGTGTTCATTTTGGAAAAGTTTGGTAAAATTTGTTTACTTCGCCCGAAGGATGGTGAGGATGCCCATTCTTTGTCATGCAGTTCCCCAAAAGCATCAAAGATACTCTTCCTTATCTCCTCATCAGCTTCAAAGAGACTGTTGATCCGACCAAAGAAGTGACCTTCAATGGACTCAATGTCATTGTGAGGCCCAGGGAAGGTAAATGGACTTTCACCATGTGATTATGAGGGAAATCGACCTGTTACAAACATCTTCCTCAGTGTACTCTGTATTGGATTTCAGCACTTCAGTAGGCCTAATTGCAAAACATAAAAGTTTAATAATCCCTAAAAGAATTTACATCTACCGTACTACACAGGATTAAAATTTTTTTGCCTTCTCTGGATGAAAGAAACCGCTTGAAGGGCACATAATAAAGTATTTCAAAAGAAATAATGGAGAGGTTTATGAAAAGAAACACCATATTATTGACTCCAAATCAAATTTTAGCTGATCTAGTTCAAGCTGGATCAAGGATACTGGATACATAAAATGAATACACGTCTTAGCAAGAAAAAAATGGTACTGCTACACACTAAAGTAGAGTAGCAGACTTGGAAATAATGAATAATCCTATCATTAACATGACATGTAGTGACTATACCAAACATCCTTTTACAGCTCCCCTAAAATTGGAGAAAGAAAGTTTCTAGAAGAAGGATGCCATGCCAATCGAGTGAATATGAACCAACCAAATCTCAGCCCACATTCCTGACTCCTGAACCCAACCCAACCCAACATATGATCGTGTATCTTGATTATGCCAAGTATGAACTATAAAACTACTGCAGGTCTCCTATACTAGCAGTAGAAGTTCTTAACTTGTTCTTATAGAAAGAAGTATATATAATTACAGTATTGAGTGGTTTTAACATACTTTAACCTACTCTTTCGAGTTATCATACTTCCATTGAGCTTGTACCTCATCAGGGCTCGGGGTGAGCATTTCTGAGTCAAGATTTAGGCCTGTTGGAGCTGTGGTGTCAAAGCTGCACAAGAGGCAACAAATGAAAAGAAGGCTGCACAAGTGGCAGCAAATGGAAAGAAAGTTGCACAAGTGGCAGCAAAATGAAAAGAAGGGAGAGCTACACCAAAGCACGGTAGTAGCAAAGTGCAGCAACCTATGCTGCAAAATGTTGATGAAATGTTGGTGAAATGAGGCTGAAATGTAATGCAAATGAAAGCAAATGAATGGCCACAAAGTAGCAGCAAGAACAGCCACATGGAGCCACACAAATGGAAGCAAGACTTTTAATGTAATCTTGCATTAAATGTTTTGTAGATTTTTCTCTTAATGGATAAGTATTAGGTACTATTTATATACTGAATTTTCTGCTATATAATAGCAGAACAATGAATGCAAAAAATGAGTTTTCACCTCATCAAAGAGGGAACTGCCGTGTGTTTCCCTTCTCCTCTTAGTCCCTTCCTTCTTTCAGCAAAAAAATCCAACATGGTATCAGAGCTTAAATGATCTTGAGGGAACTCTGGAAGTGAGTTTGAGTGAACACCAGGAAAAAAAAAAAAAAAAAAAAGGACCACCTTTCTTTGTTTTTCAGATAGTTTTTCATGTGAAACCCCTCTTGCTTGGCCAAAATCTTGCAGCAAAAAAGGCTGTGAAGATGGAGGCATATGTTAGTCCCACCATGGGAGATGTCAAGGAGAGGAACACTGGATTCAAAGAGAAGGTGTTCATGTTTGTTTCAAAAAACAATCCATAAGGCAAAACATGGTTGATGGAATGGGAAACTTAACACAAAAAAAATCAGTTTCATTTCATGATATGTTCATCCATCCTTTATGTTTGCTATGGTTATGTCTTGAGTTTTCCCAAGAAAACTCTTCATGGATGTGGCTTTGATGGAGGTTTCACCAACACCAAGCACAAAGAAGTTGAAAAATGGCATCAAAGCTGTGATGTTTGTTGCAACGAGACAGCAAAATGGCTCAGTAAAGCTCCAAAAAAAATGTGTGAAAGCAGCAAATCCAAGCAAGATGAAGCTGCAACATTGAAGGAGGAGCTAATCTGCTAAAGGAGATGCTTTAGCAGCAACAAAAAATCAAAACCAAAGGATAAAGAATTGCACAAATGGCAGATTCCAAATGCTTGGTTAATGTCATGTTATCCTCAGCTTTAACACCAAGAAGGAGTGTTGGAGCTATGGTGTCAAAGCTGCACAAGAGGCAGCAAATGGAAAGAAGGCTACATAGGTGGCAGCAAATGGAAAGAAAGCTGCACAAGTGGCAGCAAAATGAAAAGAAGGGGGAGCTGCACCAAAGCACGGTCGCAGCAAAGTGCAGCAACCTATGCTGCAAAATGTTGATGAAATGTTGGTGAAATGAGGCGGAAATGTAATGCAAATGAAAGCAAATGGAAGGTTGCAAAGTAGCAGCAAGAACAGCCACATGGAGCCACACAAATGGAAGGAAGACTTTTAATGTAATCTTGCATTAAATGTTTTGTAGATTTTTTTTATAAGGATTAAGTACTGTTTATGTTCTGAATTTTCTGCTATATAATAGCAGAACAATGAATGCAAAAAATGAGTTTTAACCTCACCAAAGAGGGAACACCTGTGTGTCTCCCTTCTCCTCCAAGTCCCTTCCTTTTCTCAAAAATTTCCTCAACAAGGCCAGAACATTTTCCTGAACCAAATCGGCGTTCCTAGTCATCTCCTCTATAAATTGCAACGCCTTGACGTCTTTCTCGCACGCCGGTAGGCCAAGCGGAGACCAAAGTGCAGAATCAACCGCCATTTTTTTAAGAGAGAATTCATATTATAATAGGAAGGAAAGAAAATAAAGATAAATTTTGCTTTGCTGCATGTGTTGTGATCAGTTTGTGAGAAACCAGTATAAAATCATTGAAACTAGAAAGATTTCCTTTGTTAAAGGCTTTTGGCAATGCTTTTGACAAACCCTTTTTGATTTACAGGCAAAGGAATTGCTGAATTTTTTTTTTTTTGGGCCAAAACCACCAAATTAATAATGAATCATGCACGAACCGTATTCAATTTGAGAGTGATTAGGAATTTAATATCAATATCATAACAAGAGAGAGAATAAGTTTATAATAATTTTATTATTAAAATTAAAAAGTTGGTTTATGATGGCATGTGACTCATTTGTTATGTGCTCCCGGCAGACACCCAAGGGACATCTAAAGTATATGCTTAACACCAATGGTACCTTCCTCAGCAAATGAAAGCTTTCTATATTAAACAAACACAAATAATTACCTTGGACCCTTTTTAATTCATGTGTAGGTTATTTTCATCCGCAATGTATACCTGAAGAACAAGAAAAGAAGAAACTCTCATTGCAATTTGTAAGAATGGCTCTAACTGGGGTTGCTTTTCCTCCGACTTCATTGTTTGTATCTTTATCTTTGCATAGAAGGAGATACTCGCATACCCATCAGCCCATTTCCAAGTTTTGTGTGACTGCCAGTTGCAATGACAGCAGAGAGCTGATGGCAGAACCAGAAGTTTCTACAACTGAAAGAGCAAATTTTGGATTCAAGGACATAACAGAAACTTTCAGGGTTGATGCCCTTGGTTTGAAGAGGCAGAGAATGTAGTTACCCTCTTTTGGGTCTGTTTGCCATAATGGTTTGATGATTGTGGTTAATAGTTTTACTCATAGTTTAAATGAAACGGCAAAAAAAATAAATATTTGGTAAATTTATATGTTTTGAAATTATTATAAATAAAATTTTTGATAAAAATTTTTATTTAATAGTTTAAAATAACCAATAGTGATTAAGATTCAAATTGGTAGCGAATTAAAAAAAGTTAACTTGGATCATTTTTTTACTAAATTATTAACAGATTGAGATTTTTTAATTTTATTGATAAATTTATCATTTTTAATTTTTTAATTTTTAACCATAATTTTTAATTAATACTTATTTAATTAGTTTCAACTTCATTTTTTGTCTTTAATAACATTAAGTGATTTTTATATTTTTATTTTTTACATTAATTTATCATAAAAATATATATTAATTCAAAAAGCAAAATTTACTAATTAGAAGAAATAATTAAAATTTATTATTTAAAAATAATATAATATTTTCTTTGTTAAAAATAAAAATGAGTCTATGATTATACTATTATAATTTATTATATTTATTTTATTTTTTAATTATTA